ATGAGACTTTATGGACTTTTTTAAGTAGCCAATCAAAAAGCGAGAAAAGCTACTGACAACGTTCGCGTCATTTTGAGTAAAATTTACTCATTTTTGTTTACGGCAAGTTTAAGGCGTCTTTTCCCCTCATTTATTCCCGTCATTTGACCATTTTGGGGTCTTGTTATTATAAAAAACAAATTGACGTCAGTTTTTTATGCGTCTGTTCTCTTATTGATGATAAATTGCGTCATAACATTGTCAAAGTGGCTGGGGAACCACGAGCCGCAGGCGAGTGGTTCCGCAGTAAACTTTGACAATGTTATGACGAAATTTACCGTCAATAAGAGGACAGACGCATTAAAAACTGACATCAATTTGCTAAATTTCTTATAATCTTAGGTGTAAGAATTTATTAGAACATGGAGACAGTTTAATTTCATGATTCTTTTCATTCTCATTTCCTGACTTCTTGGAAATACGTCGAAATTGTAAAGAGAAATAAGCTGTTGATCAATCCCTGGAATTGTTTCTTTACAGGAGAAGGATCTTGAAGTCTGCCAGGCATCATTAGCAGTGGCTCACGCAGCCGCAGAACTGGCGACCTCTGATCCGTCAGAACTGCCATCAGTGCCAGCGAGTCTTACCAGTCAGCAGCTGGATGAGTTAGCACAGCTGAGGCGAACTGTGACGACACTTCACGAGGAATTGGACGTGTTGAGATCGATGAACACAGAGCTTCAGAATGAAATAGAGTCAGTGGTAAGTTAAGAGTCTGGTTTAGTACTTCATGTAGATAGATACTCTTTAGTCACTGTCACTCTTGGAGTGGCAACTATGACAACTTGAAACTTAAAGGTTTGCGGCTGAAACATTAAGATGAAAATCAGTATATGGCGTAAAAAGGTGGTGCTAAGTGTTAAGTTTCTGTAAAGGTTTGTTCGCTATAAACGTGTTCGTTATTAGAAACTTGTTCGTTAGAAATGAAAAATGTGTTCGTTATTAACTTGTTCGCTATAAATGAAAAATGTGTTCGTTAGAAACTTGTTCGTTACAAACTTGTGTCACTGATGCATTTCAGCGAGAGGAGGGATTGAAGACGCCAACCAACAGCACAGATGAAGTCAAAGCCGAGTTGGAAAAAGCGCGAAAAGAGAGCCACGACAAAATCAAACTGTTAGAAGAGAAATTAGCTGCCACAGAGAAAGAAATGAGCAGAATAGTACAGGAGAAAACAGCCTTGGACAAGGAACACGAAGACCTCCTGGTTATGTTAACTGAACAAGATGCCAAAGTTCTTAAATACAAGGTACATTTTTATTGTTACTACATACTCCATTACAATAGGCACATCTCAAACTTATTAATAATTCATAGAGTTTAAACAAAGGAAATCATGACCGTGAAGGTGTTGGGATATCAGATCTGGTAGATTTTTACGGTTTTATTTCACTGTTTTCTCCATAGTTTAGGTTAGTTTCCTGTTTGACCACATTTCCAAACACCTTGAAGTTCGTCATAAATAATCTCCTGCGCGTCGTATTTTCAACTCTCACATCTCGTTTGGAAATGTGATCAAACACGGTCTTTCCTGGTTTGATATATTACTTTAAACATACTGTGTACTGCACAAGTTTAGTTTCCTTGTTTTTTTTGTTTTGTTTTGCTTTGTTTTTTTCTTGTATTTAGAAACTGGCGAGAGATGGCGGACAGGAAGTAAGTGAAGACGAGGATGACGATTACGAGGAAGATGATGATGACGACGACGACGACGACGATGATGATGATGATGATGACGAAGACGATGTTGATGATGACAATGAAGACGAGTCTGATAACGAAGGTGCCGGAAATGAACAAGAAACAGAACAACAAAATACTGAGAACACAGAACTTGATGAAGGACAACTTACGTGAAACAGAAAATTTCTGATAGTTTTATTAATATAACCTAAACACCAATCCAAAGAAGCAGACACATTTTATTTTAAACAGTATTGTACATTTATTTTAACACGAAGTTACAATTCCATCAGTTCCAACCCACTGTACCCCTCCCCTCCTTCTGCCCAAAAACTGAAAGAAGGGAGGGGAGGGGAGGGGATGGGAAAGTCTAATTGTCATCGTTATGCTTTAATTCAACTTGTTTTCTGCTTTTTACCGATTTTATTAAAACAATGAAATTCGAAGACTGCTTCTGAACATGAAAACTGCAGCTTTGAAGATTTTACGCATTCCACTTGTAAGAAAACAGCATGTTTAGAGATAAAGGTCATCGAGTTTAAAGAAACAAATTAAATAATGACAAAAGAAAATCCAGCTTTAAAGATACCGGTTAAATGTCTCGTGTAATGTCAGTATATTATCCGCAGAGGTGGTAAGAAGAATTTAAGTAATAACTAATATCAAACTGATTTGTGCGGTGAGGAGAATTAATTTCTTGAGCTTTGCAACTAAACCGACAAGTTTAAGATGCCACACTCGCAATTTAATAGACTAAGATAAACCACAATCTTAAACGTTTTGAAACCTACACTGTGATAAAATTACCCAGCCTGGGATTGTATGGGACGCGTTTCATTACTGGTTCCAGATTTAAACATAAATTAAAAGTGAAGCTTATTTGTGTAATTATCTCGTCTACTTCTAATTTGAGTTAAACTTGTTTTAACTTTTCAAAGAGAAGTCTTTTCGCCTCACTCTATTACCCACCCTAACATTATTAACTACTTATTATCCGAGAGTGAGGTCTTTACGGGAAGATTTCAAACCGAGACCTTGCCGTTTTCACCAAGCGATAGCGTGGTCAATACGGAAAGGTCGAGGTTTGAGATTTTCATGCAGTAAATAGCGCACGTTCGAGGTTAATAAGTTGTTCAGTTTATGGCTTTTTGCTTTGTTTTTGTCAGCCTGTGGGCACTATGAGAGAATAATGCCTAGAATTAGCCAATCAGTGCGGGCGTTATGTCGGCTACAAACACAAGCCTCATAATACTCATTACACTATACCGCAAAGTCATTGGGGACGTCTCTTTCTTTGCCGGAGTTTTCGTCGGCGTTCTCGTTGTGTACATATTCGGATGATCGGGGCACGTCGTAGTTTCCATCGACTGATGTAAATGTCGTTGCTGGGATGTCGTAATCACTTGTGGAGGGAGTTGCTCTGGGAATGTCGGAATTTCCAGTGTCTGAGAAATAGCGTAACAATGTCAACTTAAGTTTTAAATAATGCGCTAGTTTCAGCACGATGTTGAGAAACTCATCAACACGTGTTACACCTACTCAGCGGAACCCAACAATAAAATTGGTAGACTGGGGCCCAGCAAATGACAGGAGCACATTATAACCCTTCAGAATAGAACTCCGCTATGAAAGATATCGTTTACCTGACCGCTCTGCATCCAGGTGTTCACCTCCTTCCTCGCTGTCTGATGCAGAAACAACCATGTCGTAACTGTGGAGCGGATTATTCAAACGCGTCTCTATTTCACTAAATTCCAAACGCTCGTCTGGATCTTCCCACCAGCAATCTTTCATCACAGCAAATATGAAGTCGGGACAGTTGTCGGGCCTCCCAAGCTGAATGCCCTTTTAGAAAGGGAAATTAAACTTTAAGAGATCTTTAACTGCCCATAATATTCGCTTGGGGTTCACAACCATATCTACAAGGCTCAAACGCTATGCTCAAAAGAGTGAAGCAGTGAAAAAAAAACGTTTTCGACGTTGTGTCATCTTCAGGGCAACTGAAGATGACATAACGTCGAAAACATTATGTTCACTTCACTCTTTTAAGCCTTGTAAAAATTAATTGCAGATATTTAACTCGTTAGAGTCTTATCACATAATTATGTTAGTTGTAAGAATCTGTTGGCCCATCAGAAGAAATGCTCACATACATGATAGGCTACAAGCAGCTTCTCTTTTCTTAGTCTTTAAAGCATAAAGACTGACGCACGAGTGGCGAAGCGCGCGCGCGAAATCTAGGGTGAAGGCACGCTAATATTGGCATTATTACATAGAATATTAAATGTAGAAATGACATCAACTCGGAAAAAAATCCGAGCTCCAGATGGGATTTGAACCCACGACCCTCTGTGATCTAGCCGGACGCTTTAATCACTGAGCTACTGGAGGCTCTACGGTGAGCAAGGGTGAAATACTGGCATTACCTTGATAATTTTAGGAGAATGAAACCAGTACCTTCTGAATAAACCCCATCACTTCTTTGTTGGTATACCCATAATATGGCTGGAGACCAAATGTGAAAATCTCCCAAAGTACCACACCATAAGCATACACGTCTGACCCGACAGTAAACTTGCCGTACATCAACGCTTCAGGAGACAGCCAGCGAATGGGAAGCAAGGTTTCTTCACTCATCTAGAAAACCCGAATATCCAAGTTATAAGCTGATTTACGCGCGGCTGTGTCCGCCTCAGATACATTCATCTTTCCCTGGCCATTTTAAACAAGTCATTACTTACATGTTTGCGGACTTCTCTCCACTCATAAAGTAAAAAATAAGTAAAAAAGTAAACGGGATTTGTTGCTCAGTTGTCGTTACTATTTTATATATCATGGGTGACAAATAACTCCATAGTTTAAGTGTGAAATTCCAGGATTAATTTATAATTACAAAATTGCTATGGCAACGTTTGGCGCGAAATTTCACGGTACAATAACCAAGTAAAAATCCCACGATGATGAGCGTAACCCGTGATATTAAAAGGTAATCGAATCTTAAACTCGTGAAAATTAAGAAATAGTTTCACTTGCGTTTTGTCCAAATCCTAATAATTTCCCTCGCCCCTTGGCATCGGAAAATTATTAGAATTTTGACAAAACGCGCGTGAAATTATTTCCTAATTTCACTCGCCACCATTTGATTACCATACTTATTCACCCCCAGGGCTTTTGACGGTACTCGGCTTTTGTGGAAATACTTGTTATTTTTTCCACAGCTAAGTTGGTAGCGTACCTTATAGTAATCCGAGGTATAGATATCACGTGACATTCCAAAATCCCCGATCTTGACTATCAGACCATCTCCGACCAGACAGTTTCTTGTCGCCAGGTCCCTGTGGAGAAACCTCATCTTAGCCACATGCTGCATGCCAACTGCGATCTGCGTTGCTATAGAGACGAGGTCTTTTTGCTCAAGGTAAACTAGCGGAAAAAATAAAATAACAACATTGTTAGGCTTCCTTTGATCTATCATGTACGTGAGGGTCTTTAAGACATGCTAACATAGAAAACATTATCTCTTAGTTTCAAAGTAATGTTTCAGAAATAGCAAACCCTGTTCTTTTTAAAGGAAATTGTCATTCTTGCACTTCACAGCTATTTCAGTCCAAATTCCCAAGTACATAGCATGCGCACTAACGAGAACTTCCAACCTCACAAGACTTCGCTATCAAAAAATTATATACTTTTGCCCAGCCTCTTTGATGAAAAGCAGTAAGTTTGTTGAGTCAAAGACGATTGAATGGAAGAAGGACCATTATTACCATATGATATAAGCTAAACGTGAAAGGCAGAGACTATTCTAACAGACATAAGTTTCGAAAGCCATCTTGAACGAGATCTCGCATTGGAAAGTCGTTCACAAATTTCTTGTAATACCTTTATTTGTTTCTTTGTTGTGAGGTGATGTCTCCGCAGGCAAGGCATTTCTCAAATATTGATTCAAATCACCGCCACTCATGAACTCGAACACCATTCCATAAGGTTCCTCCTCAGTTGATACCGCCAGCAACTGAACGATGTTTGGATGTGTTAAAATGGACATTAGACTTACTTCTCTGAAAAACTCGTCTTTTTGTTCTTTAGATGAATCATTTTTTAGTGCTTTGACAGCGACCAGAACTTCCTTCTTGGGCTCTTTGTCGATGAGACCAGTTGCACGACCTGAAAGAGAAATGATATGGATACTCCAGGTGTTTACGCGTCCGTTACGCCCTGGGCTCGTTCGAATTCCCTCCCGTCTTTTCCCAGGCATTTTGCCCATTCCTCGTGCGTTCCCATGCGTTTCCCGTGCGTTCCGCCAAAACACAACCCTGGGCAGTTCCCAATGGCTTCCCGAAGGCTTCCTTCATAGACTTTCCATCCATTAGCCTTCAGTTGCCATGCATCTATTCACCGCGCGTTTCTTGTGCATGACCTCGTATTCCCGGTCTGTTTATTTTTCTCAATTCCCTAATGCATTCTCAATGTATTACCAGTGTATTCCTATGCTTCCCCCCTTCGTTCTACCATGCGTTCCCCTTCATGCCGTTCTACGAATCCAAATGCGTTACTTCAAGGGATCAGAGTGGGTTCCTGTCTATGGACACCCGCCATGCGTTTGCTGTGTGTTTCTCCCATCCGTTTGCAGGGTTGTTAAACCGTTTGAAGTACTCTTACTAGTGTGTTTCCTGGCATCCTCCTTAAGTGACAATAGCAATGATCAGCGATGGCGGGAGTCCATTAGGAAGACTGGGAAGTGAGGGCAGTGAAGATTTTGAGGATGAAAATGGATGCGACAAGTGTAACTTACCTTGAAAGACTTTACCAAAGGATCCCATGCCCAGGTCCCTCACGTACTGCACACGATCCAGCCTGTACTGTCTCAGTTTGTTTGGATCGTAATGACGTGACAGCAATGTGTCCAAGCTCTTCAAAGACTCCGCTCGTAATTTGTCTCTCATGGTAAAAGCTGTTTCAGACATTCTGTCGAACTTGTTTATCTGGCGTCTTCGCCACAAGACGAACACAACAACACACACCACAATGATGAGAACAAGCGTAAAGACTAAGGGGAGAATTGTGCTCAGATTGTTGTCTGACGGTGGGGTGGTAGGCTGGCCGTGGATAGCAATCTTTTCTTCGGTATAATCTGTGAAAGTAGAAAATAGCATGATCAGACATTTGAACCATGTCTCGAGCGGTGTCTCACTGGTTGATCAGGATCCACGTGTACAAACCTTGACTTTTGTACAAACTTTGAGATGTTATGGAGCCACACCCATCTTGTGTTGTATATACAATACCCTGCGATTAACTTCACAAAAATAGCCAACGGTCCACATAAAGAGCTTATTATTTTGAATGATTTTCCTCTCCCTTTCTCCCGTTTCTTGCCGCACCTCTTTTTCAGCAAGCAGAGGTCCACTGTTACTCTTTTCAACATTTGTGATGATGATTATGTATAAAGAAAACAAGAAAGTGCTGACTTACTGAAAAATCCAGACTTGATACAGGTTTTATTTCCTGGCAAACTTTCATAATATGAGCGAGGATGGTGTTTAGAGCAATCAGGAATGCCCCGATGTATAAAATCAATGCCTTCAGATTGAATTATGATGTGGAGCCCTCCGATAACCTGATTGATTG